ATGATTCAAAGTGACATCCATGTCTCAATTCATTTGTATTTAAACTTTGTTTTTTATTCACGTACTTTATGTCCGCCATCTTGGATTGCTTTTGCTGCCGCGTGAGACACGATTGAGAAGGCGGTGCAAACCCGACGTTACACCGGCGATCCTGATTGGCCGATTATTTTTTGGTCTCCTGAAGGAGTTTGCATTTTTCTCGATCCCAGACCCTTGTGTTCAGCCAAACGCCTTCGGTGGAATATCGCGGAACTACAAGGGTCTGCTGAGAGCCAGGCAAGACTGCCAACTCCCCGACCCAGAAATGGATTAACGGGAAGAAAATGGATGGATGGCCTTTCTTGTATCGTGCATTGTTTTTGTTAAATCCCCAAACTAATTAACCATTTTCCATCACATTGTTAAGGAGACTCAAAATAAATAAAAGCAAAAAGAGGAGTTAAACTGGAAGCAGAAGTCCCCAAATGAATGAATGGAAACATATACTTTCTGACAACTTTCTTTTATGGTTCTTCTGCTCCAGGTGAAAATACCATGAAGCCTTCTACAGAACACACGTCACTCTATAATGTCTGTAACATATTTACATCGACAGACCTGGAAATCTAAACCAAGACAAGTTTGTTCCAATGAAAATGAAATATTGCTTTGGGGCAATTCTACTTTTATGACTCGACATCATAAATATTGGACGCTGACAGCTCCCTGCAGATCTCTCAAAGATCCACTGATAAATCAAGTGTATGAATATAGTTTATTGCCAATAGATAATTTAGTACAATTTTAGTTTTGGCTTTAAAAACAAAGTATATTATCACATTTCAAGTTCATACCTGGCAATTTCCCTTGTCATCATTCTGTGGCGACGTTTTGATCTGTAAATGCATTTGACACTGAATATATATGATTTTTTTTATAGTCAATGTAATTTAATATAGTCAATACAAAATGGACGACATTCATAAACACGTATTTACGAGAGTGATAACAGGAGAGTGGACACAAACACATACAGAACATGCAAGATTTCTTCATGTGCTTTAGAGTTCCAGTGAATGTCTGTGTAAGTGTATGTCACATAGGGGTTCATGCATGGATAGATATCTCTGAGAATTGGTCATAATTGCAGTTACACATCAGTGGGACCGTGGGTGGCGATTCCTGTCCGGGACGTCCCATCATCAGAGGCCTCAGGTGTGATGTGGGTGTGAGAAGTGAAAATGCTGTGAGTGGATCCAAAAAGCTGTCACTCAGATAATTACATGTTCACAGGAAGCGATTCCATATAAGGCATGGGAAATGTCACACCAGATCAAACTGATGATAGTGTTTGGACTTTGTATGAATCCTCTAAATGTATTCCAGATGGTGTAATGCCTCAATCGTCCAGCAGGGTTTACTTTAAATGTTTCAACTGGAGTTTTGGGTTAGGCACTGATTGTTGATGCTTGGACCATTTTTCTTTTTTTGTGTGTTTTGTGTGGGGGCTGGGCACATGTAAAATGCATTTATCCATTCATTCAATACATCTGGTCATTATTGAAAATCATGAATGCAAGTCTATGACAACTTTGATGAAATACTTGTGGTTCCTTACTAGTTTGTGGCCTTGCTGTTTGGTCCATTTTTGTGTTTTCTATTATGTTTGTGCGCCGTGTGTACAACATCATCTGCTACATCAAGCATCGCCGTGATTAGTTCAAAGACTCTCTCTGGTCTCTACCTCAGCATGCTCTCCTCTGCAGCTGTACTTACAAGTGTAGGCACAACCTTTGACAGCTGCAGAAGCGCTCAGACCTACAACCAACAGGTCTGATATCTCTGGTCTCTCTCACTTCAGCATTCAGGAGTTCAGGTGGTTAGAAAAGTGTCTAAAGTGTGTGTGAGGTTTTGTTCAGCCTTCAAAAATACTACTGCTACTTCAAGGATTTCACTTATTGTGGGTTATTTTGAGAACGTCCAGAATAAACCATTGACCACTGTAGAGAACTTTATAGAACTGATACTTTGCTTTAAATGAAACCAGCTCCATCTGGCAATTCTCATGACAAAAGTGAAGCCTCTAAAACTCATGACTTATCTCAGCAGGAGCTATTTCAGGTTTAGATATTTCTAAAGAAAAGAATCAGGTTTGTGACTCATGTTTTTTTTCGTCTTCTGAGAAGTGTTTAGTACAGTACAAGTTGAGCCAAGCAAGTGGACTCTCCCTCTGGTCTCTCTCTTTAGTCGTCATCTTTGGTCTCTCTCTCTCTGCTCTCTCTATCACTCTTCCCCTCTCTTTGGCCTCTCTGGTCTCTCTCTCTGGTCTCTGACAATATTTTCAAGATTACCCTACAGAGCACTGCACGATTTAAGAAGGGGGAAGAGAATATGAGATGGAACCCTGGGCCCCTGGGGTAGCCTTTCACTCCGCATAGAACGTGGGGAGCAAGCACCTAACGTTATAGCATTACAGATGCACATGGTCATGTTTCACTCGCGCTTTGTTCTAAGAATATTTATTCAGTATTGTGCTTTGGATACATGCATGGGTAATAATCAGGCACAAGTGAGGATGCGTACGTTAGCGTTTTGTCAGTAGAGTGCTACTGCCCCAGTTGCTGATCCAATAGGCTAAAGGTAAAGAGTGCGCACTATGACAACGATGAAAGTGTTATCTTGTCAGTGACGTGGAACGCTCGCAGCAGGAGGACTTTGAGCGCTGTGAGCTTGGTTCTCCTGTCTTCCAGTCTGAATTTGTGCTTAAGCATCATAAGTGGCGCCAGCAAGTGGTCTCTCTCTCTCTCGGGTCACTCTCTTTTCCCCCTTATAATGTTAAAGTAGCTCTATGGTCTGTCTCTTGTCCCTATCTCGGGTCTCCCTCTGATCTCCATCTTGCCCCTCTCTGATCTCTCTCTGGTCTCCTGCTGGTCTCCCTCTTCTCTCTCTGGTTTCCTTCTGGTCTCTCTCAGGTCTCTCTTCTCTCTCTCTCTGGTTTCCCTCTGGTATTTGCCAGTGTATATCCATGTAAAGCAGTAGAGGTCATAGTTGTTGTCAATAATTCTCTGGGAAGTGTTAAAGTAGCTGCATGTCAAGCCGCTCAGACATACACTGAACAAAGGCATGTACAGTGTAGAGCAGGACTTCAAATCCACTAAAGCTAAAATACAAATCTCTATAAGCTCCAAACAATAAGTGTCCAGCAGCCGCGGGCCATAGGAGCAGATTACCGCAGGATTACGGCCGACACAAACGTCATAAAATATGTAAACAAGAGAGCAAGGAAAACGCAGACATGGAATATTTCAGACTGAGCAGACAGAGAAAGCTGCAGGTACACAGCCTCATGCACTAAACTGTGGAGAGACTCTCAGTGTTCTTGCCTCAACTTTGCAGAGAGGAAAACGATCACTAGGAGTTGTCTGTACCAAGCCTCGCTCTGGTCATTCTCTCTGGTCTCTCTTTCTCTGGCCTCTCTCTGGTCTCTCTCTGCTCACTCTCTGATCTCTCTATGCTCTCTCCTTCTGGTCTCTCAATGATCACTCTCTGGTCTCTCTCTTTGCTCTATTTCTGGTCTCTCTGGTCTTTCTCTTTCTAGGGTCATGAACTTGAACTTGTATTTGGACGAGGGCGACTTTAACATATAAAATGAGGCCAAAATAACATGTTGTAAGAGCCCTGTGAGTCAAGAGACAGAACTGAACCCTATTCCTAACCCTATTTGGAGATGTATAGGACCTAATATTACTGATGCATAGATGTTTAGTACTTAAAGCCCTTTTCATGACCATGGGCAGGTTTAAAAATATTCTATTTAGATGTGTGATTGTGATGTTTCCTTTTTGGTTTTTGTAAAGAGCTGTAAAGGACAAATAAACTTGCCCTTGTGTTTGTGTATAGCCCAAAATAACAGCAGTTGTCTTGGAGGACTTTAAAATGTTGGAAAATGAAATATTTCGAACACAGGAAATTCAATAATCACAAGCGCACAGAAGCCATAGGTCCCTAGAGAACAGGATGACCACAGTCCTGAAACGTTTATAAATGTCCATAAATGTCCTGGATCGTCATTGTTCTGCACCCCTGCATTGGCAAGGAACCACTCGGAAAACCCAGGACTGAGGCTGTAGATCCAGGACTGAGCTGTAGATCCAGGACTGAGGCTGTAGATCCAGGACTGAGGCTGTAGATCCAGGACTGAGGCTGTAGATCCAGGACTGAGGCTGTAGATCCAGGACTGAGGCTGAAGAAGATCCAGGACTGAGGCTGTAGATCCAGGACTGAGGCTGTAGATCCAGGACTGAGGTTGTAGATCCAGGACTGAGGCAATAGATCCAGGACTGGGCTGTAGATCCAGGACTGAGGCTGTAGATCCAGGACTGAGGCTGTAGATCCAGGACTGAGGCAATAGATCCAGGACTGAGGCAATAGATCCAGGACTGAGGCTGTAAATCCAGGACTGAGGCTGTAGATCCAGGACTGAGGCTGTAGATCCAGGACTGAGGCTGAAGAAGATCCAGGACTGAGGCTGTAGATCCAGGACTGAGGCTGAAGAAGATCCAGGACTGAAGCCGTAGATCCAGCATTCGCAAGGAACAACGCAAGAAAACCAGCGGGAAAGTCCTATGTCTCTAAAATCCCAGTCCTGAACGTCATAATTAGTAATCTTTGTTTGCGCTGTCAGGGGAATAGTTTAAACATCTGAAGAGACCAGCTCTAGTCTCTTTTCTTACTGTAGAATTGGAGGCAGACTTCAGCAGCAGCTTTAAGCAACAGTCTTCTCTCCCTTTCTCTCTGACTCCTGAGTGTTTATTTAAGCAGAGAGTTACCTGACACTTACTTCTATCAAAACTTATTTCTTGACTTCTGGAGATGCAGAGTTCACATTCTGACTTCACCTTGACTTTTTTGAAAGGCGCTCCAACTCCAGGTGACTGCGGGCTAAAACACAGCGAAACACAGAAACTTTCTTTTGCCCTCGTTCAAACGTCCTCCGCAGCGCTCCAACTTCCACACTCCAGATGACGACAGAGGCTGAAATCACCACAAACTCGGATTCTGGCAGAGTTTCCCTGCAGCATCTCTGGGTTCAGCGTCGACAGCGGCTGAAGGCTGTGGGGGAACTTAGTCAGGTGAGGGAGAAGCAAATATGTGAACAGGAAGCTTTGGAATTAATACTGAGGATCAAAAGAACACGGGACTTAAAGAGACGTGTTGTGTAAAAGTCCAATACAGATCCATCTACGCTAATTTCAGGAGTTTCTGGAACAAATGTGTAGCTACATCTCTACTGTCTGAAAGATCAGCAAGAGACCAGAGGGAGAGGTCAGAGAGAGACCAGAGAGACCAGAGAGAGAGACCAGAGAGAGAGACCAGAGAGAGACCAGAGAGAGAGACCAGAGAGAGACCAGAGAGAGAGACCAGAGAGAGACCAGAGAGAGAGACCAGAGAGAGACCAGAGAGAGAGATCAGAGAGAGACCAGAGAGAGAAACCAGAGAGAGACCAGAGAGAGAGACCAGAGAGAGACCAGAGAGAGACCAGAGAGAGACCAGAGAGAGACCAGAGAGAGACCAGAGAGAGAGACCAGAGAGAGACCAGAGAGAGACCAGAGAGAGACCAGAGAGAAACCAGAGAGAGACCAGAGAGAGAGACCAGAGAGAGACCAGAGAGAGACCAGAGAGAGACCAGAGAGAGACCAGAGAGAGACCAGAGAGAGAGACCAGAGAGAGACCAGAGAGAGTGGTCTAAGAGAGAAAGAGCAGAAAGTGACAAAAGCGGGACCAGAGGGCAATTGGAGGGATACCAGTTAGAAAGACCAGAGAGATAGATTGGAGAGAGAGACCAGAGAGAGACCAGAGAGAGACCAGAGAGAGACCAGAGAGAGACCAGAGAGAGAGACCAGAGAGAGTGGTCTAAGAGAGAAAGAGCAGAAAGTGACAAAAGCGGGACCAGAGGGCAATTGGAGGGATACCAGTTAGAAAGACCAGAGAGATAGATTGGAGAGAGAGACCAGAGAGAGACCAGAGAGAGACCAGAGAGAGACCAGAGAGAGACCAGAGAGAGACCAGAGAGAGAGGTCCGAGAGAGCATCTTCTGCTATTTCTGTTAGGTACTGTGTGTGAGCGTGTATTTGTCTAAATAACATATGTAATCATTTAACCCTGGGGTTCCAAACTTAAAAAAGCAACCGTCATAATAAAACTAAACGGTCCTCGCTTTCAAAACAACCAGTAAATATTTGTGTTTGTTTTTTTTAACCTGGATTTGAACATTGTCAGAGCCTGTCTCACGTTTTCAGGAACACATACTGCATCTTTTATAATGTGGTTGATTGTTTCAGAGCTTGTAAAAACCTCAAAGAGATCAGGTTTTGAGCAGAACTAAAATGTATGGACAAAGGTGACAACGTGGTGGACTGACCTGGGATCAGCTGCAGTGTGAGGTTCAGTCACACTCTCTGGGTCATGAGGCTGCTGTCACGCCCTCTCCTCCCTCTGTGTACAGCGGACACAGAGAGAAACGCTGCCTTCAAAAGTGAGTGTTGTGGTTAGAACTCTAGTGGAGTGGTTAACGCTGTGCTCTCAGATCAGAAAGTCGAAGATTTTCACCTGACAGAGACAAAATCAGGAAAATATCAATCCATGCAATCCACATTTCAGCTGGTAATGTCATGTGGGGTGAGATGAATGAAGGAACCCAGAATGCAGGACTGAAAACAGAGCATAGTTTAATCTTATAATTCCAAGGTAATCGAAGGTAATTTGGCCTCTGTCACAGCTGTAGGTGAGATTTCTCAAACAGAAAGTGAAAAAGAGAGGACCACCCTCCCTCAGCCAAAAGAGTGACTCACATGGCTCTTTCTTATATGCAAAAAAATAACATACATGAATTTATAAAAAAAAAAAAAAAAGCTGGTACAAGATCCATTCGGCTGTGACAAACAACATATTATTTTAAAAAAAGGATATTCACAGACTTTCCTCTCCACTCACACTTCCTCCAGATCATCTGGGGGAATCCTGACACGTTCCCAGTCCAGCTGAGAGACACAGTCCCTACAGCGTGTTCTGGGTCCTGCCCTGGTCTCCTGGTGGGACATGCCCAGAACACTTTCCCAGGGAGGCGTTCGGAGGCCTCCCAAACTGATGCCTGAGACACATCAACTGGCTTCTGTCCCCGTGAAGGATCAGCCGCTCTACTCCGAGCTCCTCCCCTCCTCACCCTATCTCTAAGAAAGACACAGTGGGGGAGACCAGAGTGAGATACCGGAGAGAGAGAGAGCAGAGAGGCCTAATAGAGACCAGAGATAGACCAGAGAGACCCAAGAGAGACCAGAGAGAGACCAGAGAGAGACCAGAGAGAGACCAGAGAGAGACCAGAGAGAGACCAGAGAGAGACCAGAGAGACGCAAGAGAGAGGCCAGAGAGAGGCCAGAGAGAGACCAGAGAGAGGCCAGAGAGAGGCCAGAGAGAGACCAGAGAGAGGCCAGAGAGAGGCCAGAGAGAGACCAGAGAGAGGCCAGAGAGAGACCAGAGAGAGGCCAGAGAGAGACCAGCCCATCTCTAAGGAAGCACCCACACACTCAGCTGAGGAAACTCATGTGGACCACTCATATCTGCAATCTCGTCCTCAGCTCATGACCATAAGTGAGGGAGGGAGACGTAGACTGAGTAGTACTATTCCAGAGCTCTGACTACAGACGCTGCTCCCTTTTCACCCCGACAGTCCAGTACAACGACCGCATCACTGCACACCAAAGAATGGCTTTGTAAACAACAGCAAATACACACATCCCATTAATAAAAGGAGTTTCCCATTCAGTCTCCTTCAGGCGTCCCTAGGGCAGATGCGGCTACAGTTTCATTACCAGACTGATACATAGAACCCTCATTAAGTATTGCCAGTGATCTCCACAACATCAGAGCAGCCACAGTCCTGCTGACGTCACCGCACTCCCTCAGCGCTTCTCTATCAAACACATGAGAGCAGAGATGTCGTCTATCCATCATTCTCCGTCACCGCGACATTGTTCACGAGTTGAGAATTTCCTCCGGCCGATCACAGCCGCTTGATTGACTGCGTCCCGTCGACTTTAAAGCGACTTTGATTAAACGCTCGGTGTGAATTTGAAGCTTCAAACGTGTCTCTGTGTGGTTCTCATTACGGGCCTCAGAGCCGGATCAGAGAGAGGTCCTCAGAGGCACATAACAGCGAGAGGCGATGTCACTCTGCAAACGCTGATCAAATACTATCGCCAACTGAGAAGAAACAAGTATTTACTCTGTGTCGTGCTCAGGCCTCACAGCAAGAGGGTCCCCGTTTGATCAGGAAATGTGTTTGTCAGTATAACATCAGCAGATTTTTACCATCTGAAAATCTTATCCTGCAGTATGTCCGAAATAATGCAGCTCCGGTCCTGACTGGAACCAGGAAGTACGCAGGGTTGCCAGATGGGGCGGTTTTCCCCATGGATCTATAATAATATCTGGATAGGGTATTACTACTGTCCCACCCACGGGCACAGGGGGCGCCCGTGGTACCACAGACTAAATTCACGCGGGCTACCCAGAAAAAAGTCCCATAGAACTCAATGTAAATTAAAACAGCTCGACCTCAGCTGACAGAGAACCTGCAGCTTTCATAAAGGTCGGATTTTGTGGGAACTTTAGTGTCCCTTGTCATTCTGAACTTTATTTCTTCTTCAATCCTTTGATTTTATTTTAATCCACACTTTACTGCCACAAACTCTGCGCCTTTCCTTCCTGCTCTGACTCCGCTCTGCTGCTGCTCTGATCGGCAGCTCTGATTGGGCAAATATAAGCGAGTTCAGCTAATCTCCAGGTCTCTGTGAAGTCCCATGCGCTACTGAGCACAAGCCATTCATTTGAATAGGGCGCCATCTTGGATCACCGGGGCTTGGTTTTCCCCCTTATTGGTTGGCGTTGCTATTTATTTTGCGGGCAGAATGGGTTAGGGTGGGTGGATACAGATTGGGCTGTTTTTGGATCAGTTTGGCTGCTTTTTGTAACCTAAACTCGGCTTCTTAAGTGCAGGTGTTTAGATCCCTCTTCCTAGGACACACAGAATTGTGTTAATAAGTTTCATTTTTATAAACAAGAAAGAAGCTAAAATGATGTTTGTGTGCAGGTTTTGGGCGGGGAAATCTTGCTGGCATCTGGCAACGCTGGAAGTACCGTCACATTAGTCCAGTCCTCAGGTCTCTGCACTGGCTTCCTGGGGCTCAGAGAAAAGACTTTAAAGCAGCTCTACTTGTTTGGGAACCCTCTCTCTCCTCCACTTGTGCAGTATCGGGGTTGCATTAAACAGAGATGGGAAGTATTTGGCAGCAGTGTTTGTGCATAAAATAGTCTCATACAAGAATGTAATCAGCTCAGAGACGTCTAAACAGGCGCTAAACAAAAGTTCATTAGAAAAACGCTGATGACAAACACACTTATGTGAAACCCTGAGAACCAGCAACAAACCTGGCGTCAGTCTGCAATTAACCATCTTTCTGATCGCTCCTGATGAGAAGTTTCCCTGAGAACGTCTTCATGGAAACGACTGCGGCACATTGGGTTTGATGAAGAATACTTTGTAAACTCACTGAATAATTGACTTGACCAGAAGTTCCATCTCTAAAGGCCGCGAAAGGTGAACCACTGTACTTCCCTGTTACAGCCCAAGGCTTTTCTATTGGCCTTCATTGTTGCCATACCCAGATCTGGGCTTCTGAAGCTAAGCAGGGTAGGGCCTGGTTAGTACTGTGATGGGAGAGAACACCAGGTGCTGCAGTGGGGCGGCTTCTGTTGTAAAGTGTCAAACTGTGTCTTTGGGCAAGACATTTCACCCAGATCGCCTAGAATGAGTCTAGTGTGTGTGTGTGAAGGCTTGGTGGTGGTCAGATGGGCTAATGGCAACCAGTCTGTGCCGTCGGCTCCTCCGACCACAGTTTGGTACTTTGCAGCCGCAGCTGCCCCACTGTGGCACCTGGTGTTCCTGGAGGTCTCCCATCACAGTACTAACCAGGCACAGCTTCAGCGGTCTGACCGGATCTGGCTGCAATTACTACTACTACTACTACTCCACATACTACTACTACTACTACTACTACTACTACTACTACTCCACATACTACTACTACTACTACTAATACTACTACTCCACACACTACTACTACAGTACTACTACTACTACTGCTACTCCACATACTTCAACAATTACCATTACTACTACTGCTACTACTACTCCACATACTATAACAATGACTACTAATACTTGCTGCTAATGCTTCTAGTACTACTACTACTACTACCATTACCTCTACTTCTACTACTACTATACAGCCTACAACAATTACTACTACTACTACTACTACTACTCCACATGCAAAAACACAATTACTATAACTACATGCTGCTAATACTTCTAGTGCTACTACTGCTACTACCACTACCACTACTACTAACACTACTTCTATAACAATAACTACTACTAATAAAAAAGCAATATATAAAACCAATGCATAGTTATTATTACTACATGGACTTCACACAAGGACAGTGTGTGTATCTGACCCTGTTGTTGTTGTTGTTTTGATGTTGTGCTTTGACCTACATGTCTGAAGTCGTGATGTTGAGTGTTTGGACTGAAGACCCGTGACTGAAGCTGCCACAGCCACGCACTGACCACAGGACTCTGGCTTTTCCACTTCCTCCTCTCTCTCATGATGCAGGATGAACACGCTATGGTCTGATGACAATGGTCCAACTCCTCCTTCTACTCCTTCTCAAGCGTAATCTTTTACAGTATTTTAGATTGTGGATGTACATGTGTGTAAGATTGTATGTTTAAAGGTACTGTAATTAAAATATACTCATCAAAGTCATAACAAACTCACTTTTGGCAGAATCTTTCTCCTGTGACACATGTAGCACCCATAGTCTCTATACAATGCTAACCTGCTGCTCAAGAAGCCAAAAAGGGAAGTGCTCATGGATGAAGTTTTGCTCCAACTCCCTCTGGCTCCTATGACTTACATGTTAAAGTAAACTCCTCTAACTCAGTCTCTATACAATGCTAACCTGCTAGCTCAAGAAGCCAAAAAGGGAAGTGCTCATGGATGAAGTTTTGCTCCAACTCCCTCTGGCTCCTAATGAAGTAGTGAAGTAAGGAAAAGCAAACTCTTCTAGCTCAGTCATTATTTTTGTTTAACATTCGCCATTTTGGGCAAAAAAAAATCTGTGGTTTATCGCTCTCCGTGACCCTGTTGATATTGTCGTTGTAAATCCAGATATGAGCCAAATTACGAGGATATTCCTGCTTGCCTTAGCGATCGTCTTGGCAACCAGTCTGCCCCTGTTACATGTATGAGTGAAGACATTGGCCCCAGCTAGCTTGTGTTCGAATCGGTTTCTTCTCTGCATTAAGGCTAACACTATGATAACTCTTTATACACGCTCGATGATAGCTCCTACACACTAGTTACTGATGCAATCCACCTGCTGGGGTTTAGATTGTTTTTGAGTGGCTCCTTGCTGATGTTGCAGGGTTTTAGGACAGTGATGATCCGGGGAAATCTAGTCCCATTTACATTTCTGTGTTTGTCATAATTTAGCTAATTTTCTGAACCAGTTGTGGTGGTCCTGCTCCCTATGGACCAATTCCTTCTTTGTGTTTATAATTATTGTCTTTCCTGCGATTTATTATTGTAATTTTTTGATGAATCGACAATTTCTGATTCCAATCCTGCTCCTGATATAAATCATATTTGGTTTGAGTGGTTAGATTGACTGACCCTCAGGCTTGCAGGTGTGAAACCAGCTCCCATTGGTTATTGCTGCCCAAGCTTGAGCAAGACACTTTACCCACTTCTCCCCCAGTGTCTGCTTACACCAGTGTGTGAAATATGTGTGTGCGAGAGAGGGATCGGTTGGCTTGAAATTATAGAAAATCGCTGTATACCGCTGACTATTTTGATATCTTTGCTCTTAGTATTATCCCAGTCTTAGCAGTGATGCAACTCCAGCCGTTTATCAGACCGGCGTTCTCCTATTTCAATAGTTTATCTTGAGTAATTGAATAGTTCCTTTATCGCTGGCAGTTTGTACACTTCGTGGCAGGACTCAGAGTACAAACACTGGGTCTTGCGTCAGCCGGAGAAAGTCCTCATTCATAGATGTCTGTGGTGGATATTGGGCCAGATTCCAGGAACATTATATTGTGATAAAAGCCACGGTTCTGCGGTTTGTCCTGCGTTCGTCTTCTCGTCACCGGCACTTCCTCAGCCTCCTCTTTCCTTCCAGTAAGTTTCCCCTTTTGTGTCTCTAAATGCAGACACCGTACTGTCGCAGGACTGGGGCAAAGTTTGGAGGGAAATTTCCATTCATAGAAATTGAAATGGCTTTTGCGGTCATTAGGCAAATATGACATGTTCAGAACAGACACAGGACCTATGTTTTAGACTGTGGTAAATACAGAGCAAGTGTGAGCTCTAAATTACATGTAACAAAGCTAAAAATGTGTAAGAAATGACGTAAGCCCTATTCTCATTTGCATGCGCATTCACACGGAATTAGCAAAGTCTGTAAAGTCCCCTGCTATCTCACATCCTGACAAATGTCCAGGGAGGCTTTATTCTTGCTAGTTATGACTTTGTAGTGATAATGTGTCTTATCGCATTCTGCTAAACAAGTCATCCGGGCCAAAATCCTGCAAGAATAGTCTATTTTTGGATCTCATATCGTTCCTGCAGATCGGTCCTGGTCGGAGCAGGGCCTTTCTGAGTGGAGTTTACATTTTCTTCCCGTGTCTGCGAGGGTTTCCTCTGGGTGCTCCGGTTTCCCTACAACTAAAAACATGTACAACAGCTCTGAATGTAATGAGTGGTTGAATGGATGGTGTTGGTCGGGGGCTGTGATGCGCCGGTGTTGTTCGGCGTCTAACTTCTGTCATCACCGTGTGTGACTGGAAAACCATCTGATTTCTGAACATTGTAAAGCGCTTTGGGTGACCTTGTGCTATAAAAGAAACATTACTTATTTACTATTATATTTGCTCCTAAAAAGCTGTCAAAGCCTCAATTGTACAAGCAAGTAAGAGATATGAAAAGTTATGCAGGATATTGACAGAGAAAGTTTTGAACAGGCAACGATTGCAAAAACAATCACTGAGACGCAGATTTGCACGAGATTAGTTTCATCATTGAAGTAGACATGGCACATTCACACAGGACTGGGATCTTAGGCCATGTCCACACGTATCTGGGTTTTATTAAATCCACAATACTCATACACACATAACCGAACATCCATCCGTCCATTTTCTTCCCCATAATCCATTTCTGGGTCGGGGGTGGCAGTCAGAGCTGCACCCAGTTCACAGAGCACCGGCCCTTCACTGATCCTCCTGCAGGTGGTGAGTCCACAGGAGGATGGCTGCTATCAGTGTAGCCTTGTTTTTTCAGCGCGGGTTTCAGGCAAAGTGGGGTTCAGTGTCTTGCCCAAGGACACAATGAAAGCAGACATCAGTGGGAGTTGGTGGAGAAGGTCTCGTGGTGGGATAGAACCCCCGACCTTCAGGCTTAAAGGCCAATGCTCTACCAACGGAGCCACTGTCGCCCACATAACTGAACATCTGCGTGTTCAATCACATTAATTACATTCCAAACCTGTACGTCCTCTGACCTCCTGTCGGGGAAAAACACAGAAGTGGGCGGAGCTTTGACGCTAACGCCGGTACTTCTGTAGTAGCAGTTATTTACGTCAGAAGATCTGACGTATCTTTTGTATTATTTAGTGTAATTGGATAACCACGGCCGTAGGATCCATGCTTCCTTTGTTGTTGTTTTGGCACATATTGTGACGTGCGAACACACAACACTCCGGTCATCATGTCTACACGCAAATGCATCAACAGAGTTTTCAAAATGTTTCACTTTTCCAGTTCTTTTTCATATATTTGTTTAATATAATATTAATTTTGTTTATTATGTTGTCATGTGGATGACAGGTGCAAAGACAAATATCTTTGGTTTAGCAGATACCCGGCTCTGTGTGGACAGGGCCTCAGTCATCCTCCGCAAAGAATAGGCCTTTAGACAACATAGCATTGTGATATTTCTGACCAATATTATTATTATTTATATCCTGTTTGCAGTATATGCACCTTCTTTTTTGCACCCAAAACCTGTATATAGATGGACAATGCTAACCGGCCAACCCAATGAAGTTCAATAGGGAAGTGCTCATGGACGAAATCTTGCTCCAACTCACTCTGGCTCCTATTGACTCACATGTAAAAGTAAACTCCTCTCACTCAGGAACCGTTCAACAATCCGAAGTGAAGCGCTCTCTGTGATCCTGGTATATATACTGTGATATTGTCTAAATGTAAATCCAGATGTAGGCGATACAAGGAGAGACCAATGTTTCAAATCTTCAAAATAAACTCAAATGTTGACAAAGTCTTTATTTCTTCAGTATTTTGATTTTACATTGGTTCACAATTGGATTAAACCTCGAGATGCCAGTGTTTTTTTCAGAAATGTATTGTGAAATAGATAAAAGTTGATTCTCTGTAACTTCATCAGAGGAAGTACAGTACAACAGAAATATACAGAAGAAAAGGATGTCAGGGCAATGTAGGGAGACGTTTGTGGAACACTGCAGAAAATGATAAAGTAGATAAATTATATATGTATTATACAAAAGGAGGATCGGGAGGCCAGACTGTCTATACTTTTGTGCCATGCAGAAGCAGAACCTCTGGGCCCAGCTCCAGGTCTGAGAGGACTCCAATAGCCAAGAGCTTCAACATGGAGATGGTGGATTACTGAAGGACCACATGATGCAGCTGCAAGATCCAGTCATGAACAAGGACTGGTCTGCATCCACTGCCATCACGACCCAAGGACTCTGGTTGTATGATCTGCTCTGCTCTACACACAGTTGTTGGCTTATTTAGTCAAGCTAAGAACACTTAGCTCTAACAAAGGTTGCAAACGTACAAGCAAACCTCGGCCTACCAGTCCATTCATGGACATTTCGGCCTTGCTTGAGCCTCATCTCACCTTAGCCTTAGCATTTTAACCATGTGTCTTACAATCAGCGTTTCCTTCATTTTATTCTTGACAATGTGCATATTTCATATCTATCTGTATTGTATGTACTGCATTAAATCTACAAAACCGTCTTTGTCTGAAAGTGATATTTGTGCTGATTTAACTCCAGAAATTAGGTCACTGATTTGTAAAAGTATTCATACCTTAACATTCTATTGAAGAGAATGGAATTATAGCTAATTCAATAATTTGTTACTCAAATGATTACTGAATCAATTAATGGTAACATGACGTCATCGGTTGTGATTTATCCACTGGTGCTCCGAAATAAAGCTATTACCAATTGTATTTACTACATGATTGTTTTTGATCCAATTCTCTGATATCAAATAAATTGGTTTAGTTATGTGTGATATCGACCTCAATAACCCCTACAATATATAATATTGCTTGAATTAAGTATTTCTTATCCTCGTTTGAGTACATTCTGACAAACAAGATTTTTCATCAGAAGTTGGCAGTGTATAGATGGTGTCCTGGATTTAGGAGCTTGAGTTGCAAATCTACTGATTTAGGGTTATTCTTACAGCATATGGTCTCTCTGGTCTCACTCTCTGGTCTCTCTCTGGTCTCTCTCTGGTCTCTCTCTCTGGTCTCTCTCTCTGGTCTCTCTCTGGTCTCTCTCTGGTCTCTCTCTCTCTGGTCTCTCCCTCTGGTCTCTCCCTCTGGTCTCTCTCTCTCTGGTCTCTCTCTGGTCTCTCTCTGGTCTCTCTCTGGTCTCTCTCTCTGGTCTCTCTCTCTGGTCTCTCTCTGGTCTCTCTCTCTGGTCTCTCTCTGGTCTCTCTCTGGTCTCTCTCTGGTCTCTCTCTCTGGTCTCTCTCTGGTCTCTCTCTGGTCTCTCTCTGGTCTCTCTCTGGTCTCTCTCTGGTCTCTCTCTCAGGTCAGCTTGATGGCCTGCATTCAGGAGGTCCACAGATATTGGGAGGAAATTCTTATACCGTATAAGAATCTTTTCTTATTTTTTAGTTGGTACACTGTAGTGGAGGAAGACCATCTCTAATATTATCCTGTAATTTGAGAAAAAAAAAAAAAAAAAAAAAAACAGGGAGTTGTTTGAATATGATTCAAGAATAACTCTGAATGGAAGTTGTAAAACTCCACATGTAATGCAATCAGGAGGACATTCTGTGGGTTTTTCTCAGGCCTGATTCAGGAAACGTGACTTTGAGAAGCTGAACATGAGTCAGAGCCGTGGTGCATGATGGGATACGCCTTGGGTCAGAGGTCACTCCTGTCACTGCCACTGAAAAGTACAGAACATACAATATTACACAATATCAAACTCCACACAATGAGAGCAGGGACCACATGGCACTCTCACATCCTCACGCACACGTTTTCACACAGAAAAGTGAAAAAGAGGGGACTGCCCTCACTCACTGATGAAGACAGAATACTGTGGTCTGATTTTACCTTCTACTAGTTCGGTTGGGACATAAATCATTATTTATGAAAGTAAAAAGTGACATCATCCAGCTTTAAACCTAAACTCCAATGTTTTAAAAGATGTAAATATTGACAAAAAATATATATATTTATTAGATTATGTATTATTTATTAAATGTATTATTTTTAGAGGCTGAAGCCAATCCATTCCATATTTTAAAAACATTTAAATCACACAGAATGTATGAAAACATGACCAATGCGTTTGCAGAGGACCAGAGTGGGGCTGTGCTGTTTTTGGGGGGTCTCCAATATAAGTAAAGTTTATGGCTTTGTGAGAATCTGACGTCTCTTCTGTATTATACATTTTTGTCTAATTTTTGTAATTTGTCTAATTGGTGCAGTCCATGGAGATCACACCCCTCTCTACGCCTGGGAATCTCAGTCCTGGATCTACAGCCTCAGTCCTGGATCTACAGCCTCAGTCCTGGATCTACAGCCTCAGTCCTGGATCTACAGCCTCAGTCCTGGATCTACAGCCTCAGTCCTAGGTCTACAGCCTCAGTCCTGGATCTACAGCCTCAGTCCTGGGTCTACGGCCTCAGTCCTGGGTCTACAGCCTCAGTCCTGGATCTACAGCCTCAGTCCTGGATCTACAGCCTCAGTCCTGGATCTACAGCCTCAGTCCTGGATCTACAACCTCAGTCCTGGATCTACAGCCTCAGTCCTGGATCTACAGCCTCAGTCCTAGGTCTACAGCCTCAGTCCTGGATCTACAGCCTCAGTCCTGGATCTACAGCCTCAGTCCTGGATCTACAGCCTCAGTCCTGGATCTACAGCCTCAGTCCTGGATCTACAGCCTCAGTCCTGGATCTACAGCCTCAGTCCTGGATCTACGGCTTCAGTCCTGGATCTACAGCCTCAGTCCTGGATCTACAGCCTCAGTCATAACTAAATTAAATGCTCATAAATGTCTTGGATCATCACTGTCCTGCATCAGCAAGAAGCCGCTCAAAAATAAAAGTGAGAAACCTTTTGGAGGTCTCTTGAGAAGGAGACCTTCACCCACCGACGGAATGGGGCTGGAGATGGATCTAGCTGAAACCGTAGCTTTTTTTTGATGTATGGTATTTTCAGAACTAATCTTTGTGTCTGTACTTTTGACAGAAATGGAAGTTAAACATTCCACATAAATCTCCACATGGGCTGAAGTCTGGAGAATCTTCAGCTTTTGTCTTATCTCTCTTTCAGTTCAGTTCAGATCAGTCGTGTTAATGCCTGACAGACGACTCCTCGATGACTTCCATAAAACACCCGTGTCCTCCCTCTGCAGTCTGAGTCTGGAGGATGGATGGAGCAGAGGGAGTCCCCGAAGACCAAGAGTCCCACGGAGAGAAGCCTTCTCTGGTCTGTCTCTGGTCTGCCTCTGGTCTCCCTCTGGTCTCTCTCTGGTATACAGTATGTCTAATCTCTCTCTCTTTGGTCTCTCTCACTGGTATCTCACTGGTTAGGTCTGGTCTCTCTCTGGTCTCTCTATGGTCTCTCTCTCTGGTCTCTCTAGTCAATCTCTAGTCCCTCTCTGTTCTCCCTTTGGTCTTTCTCTAGTCTCTCTTTGGTCTCTCTCTGGTCTCTCTTTCTCTTATCTCTCTCTCTGTTCTCTCTCTGGTCTCTCTATCTAGTCTTTCTCTGGTCTCTCTTTTGTCTCTCTCTAGTCTTTCTCTGGTCTCTCTCTGGTCTCTCTCTTCTCTCTCTCTGGTGCCTCTCTGGTCTTTCTCTGGTCTCTCAATGGTCTATCTCTGGTCTCTCTCTCTGGTCTCTCTCTGGTCTCCCTTTGGTCTCTCTCTAGTCTCACTTTGGTCTCTCTCTGGTCTTTCTTTCTCTGATCTCTTTCTCTGGTCTCTCTCTGGTCTCTCTATCTGTTCTTTTTCTGGTCTCTCTCTGGTCTCTCTCTGGTCCCTCTCTGGTCCATCTCTGGTCTCTCTCAGCTCCTCTCTCAAACTGACATTCATCAACAGCATGCTGGTTCTTCTCACTGCACACTGACCCAGAGAAGAGGCATTTAACCTCAAAACTCTCTTAGAATTAATGAAAAGCCATTTTCAGAAGGTCACGGAACTGGAAACATTCACACTGGGAAGAATCAGCATTTATTAAAGAAGCTATACCCAATTTTTTTTCTAAGTAGTTCATAAAAATGCTTTTTACTACATACAAGTTGTATCATAATACATAATTTAATTGAAAACTTGAGGTCATTGATTCAACTGTTTATGAATTTCAGGCCGTGAAAAGTGCTGAGTAGAGTCTGAGCGGGACGCTCGTTCTCCTCCGCTCACCGAACGAGCAGCGAACAGCCTGCGTCCTCTAGTCTCTACAGCCTGTGTCCTCTAGCCCCTACAGCGCTGCTAAACATCAGGGCTTCAACTTCAAAATTCGAATATAATTCTAAAATAAAAAATATATGTATATATTCGAACAAATATTAGACAGCCCTTATAATTCGAAATGTATTTAAAACTGCAAATAAAATAGTTAGCTCCCAAAGGTTTCACCGGGACGTGCTAGGCAGGTAACAGCTAGTTACCATGAAACAACTAGCTAGCTTAGTAAGCTAGCTAGTTGTTTCATGGTAACTTCCGGGTTTTTCGCGATCGCTTTTTGTCACTTTAAAACAGTATTTTTGTCATGAAAACGTTGACAGCAAATTCTGAAATCGTCCGTGCATGTGTGTTAAGGATGTATATGTATACTGTATTGTCCGATTGACGTTTAATGGTGTTGATTGATTGATATGTATTTGTTTATTGAGCGTGGCTAGCTCCGCTAGCTTCTCTACACAGACAAGTGTGTAGATAGTGCCCTGATAGCTTGTGGTACTTGCAGAGTAATGGCAGTATTTTACACACCTGAATTACAAACAGAGATTGCATTTTCAAAGTCATTATTGGTTTGAGAGTTCTGTTATCAAGAAAAAATTATCGGAAGAATTACATTCAAGTCAATGGAGTGCTGCTGCTGTGAGGAGCTGTATAACAAATTATAATTAAATATTAGAATATATTCTAATGTTTAAATGAATACATTCGGACGCAAAACTAATGGTATTATTTTACTTATATATTGTGTTAGCAGTGCATTGCTTTAGTACCATTTCATCAGTGATTGTTGTACAGCTTACAAGTTGTGCTAATGCTAATGTTGGGCGGTGCTAAACATTCAAACATTGCAGAAACGGGTATAGCGCCTTTAAACACATGGTCCCTGTACCAGAGACGAATGATACTATTTTGAGGGTGTTGCTGCTGAAATCTGTCTACACATAGACCAGA